CAAGAACTATTTAGAATACTCACCCAACGTATAGGAAAGTACAATTTATTCCCGTGTGGTATGGACTCTCATTGGTTAATTGCTCCCGTTCTTCAAGTACAGTCATCACCAGCATCTTCTCTGACAGATTTGTTCCATGGTAATCCATATGGTCTACCTTGATAGATCGACGAGTGACACATCCAGCTTCCATATGGTTGTGTAGGAAGATCTAATTATTGGCTGGCGTGACGACATGCATAGGCTACTCCCCGCGTATAGTAGCATCTGGACGGGGGTTGAAAATACCTCTTGTAATATATTACCTAGGTAGTTGACATTGATGATTAGAAATCCCCCGCTATTGTCCCCTGTGAACCAAAAAGACCTGCCCACTCGTTACAAGAAGTCCAACATATCTTCAATTTCTACTTTTTTCTCAAAATACCAGCAAGAAGTCTCCTTGGAGTTGAGTCTAAAACAACACTAGAATAGGTCTTTAATTCATACGAAAAGTCCAAATGGCTTCTGCCCCGACAACCTGGCAAGGGGGCTTTATCCCTTCCATTAAGTTGAACGATGGGAACGAAATTCCTGTGGTCCGTTCCAGTCCTTCGCCTCATAATCTGTGCCTAGGTACTGAATATTAACATCTGAATAGCTCGCATACGGGTTTGGTACGGCCAACCTCAAGGGTCAAGATGAAGATATCTCCAAGAAAGCGGTTATGGCTATTAATAACGGATACTATCATCTTGACGGTGCTGAATGTGAAGCTCATCCCATTTCATTCATGGAATGAAGTTGCTTACTTCGCCATAGCATATGCCAATGAAACCGGATTGGGTGCTGGCATCAAAGCGTCCGGCGTGCCACGGGAGAAACTGTTCGTGACTACAAAAGTTGGCGGGAATAAAGGCCAGGACATACAGGCGGCATTCGCAGCATCTCTCCAAAAGCTCGGTCTGGACTACGTGGATCTGTATCTCGTCCACGTCCCTTTCCTCGCGGGTTCTCCGGAGGAGCTACAGAGGATCTGGGCCGAGGTAGAGAAGATCAAGGAATCCGGCAAGTCCAAGTCCATCGGAGTTTCCAATTTCGAGCAGGCCGACATCGAAGTCATACTACAGACCGCGAAGACGATCCCCGCTATCAACCAGATAGAGTACCATCCGTACCATCAACACGGGAATCTGATCGAGTACCTCCGTAGCAAGAACATCGCCGTTTCCGCATTCTCGCCCCTGGCGGCCGCCACGAAAGCAAGTCCCGGCCCCTTGGATGGCACGTACGCCGAGCTGGCGCAGAAATGCGGAGTAACGCCGAGCGACATTGCCCTGAGATGGGTTATCGACCAAAACGTAGTTGCTATCACTACGAGCAACAGCGAAGAGCGAATTCGAGGATACTTGGAGAGGGTGCCTACGTTCAAGCTATCTGAAGGAGAGATCAAACGCATCGCCGAGATCGGCAAACAGAAACACTACGAAATTCCTGTTGAGTATTTCATGAGACAGATATATTCTGCCTAGATTTGCTCGTGCTAGGAGGAAAAGGGGGAGCTAGGTGTTGGTCCTAATTCTCTACTCATCCTAGGTACTTTCATAGCAACAACTCCTGTTATATTCGTACGGACGATCAAAGCTGTACTTGGGTCCGTCGAAGATAGCTAGATTATATAAATTTGCAACAGCATTACCTTCCTAGACTATTTATTATCCACCTAATTATGTGTGAAGTACAAGACTCTCTTTCCGCAAAGCACCCCGAGGTGAATTAACCGTATGAGTCTAGCAACATCCATATTTCCGGCCGAATGCACTATATAAGGTGTCATACTTCGGCTATTTGGTATCAACACCTAGAGAGAGGGACTAGGCGGAAACCGTATAGATGTCAGTAGAAAGCCCGGGTCCTGCGGAGTCTAAACCAGACCCTGCATGGACCATGGATCTAGTGTAGGCGAACTTCGTGCATTGGACTTTGTTAAAGTGGTTTGATTTCGTGCCTTTTCCTGATCTGGATCATGGCTCCAGACTCTCGGTAAACATCGCCATTATCGTACATGATTAGTATAATATTGACTTTATATTGGCATTAGCCGACTTCGACGTTAAAACTACAGCATGGGTAAGCGTTGGGAGAAAGAAACCCGAGTAGAGCAAGACTATAGTATTTCTTAACTCTTCTCTAAAGTATAATGAAACGTGCAGGAACCAATGATTTTCGCCTTGTCCTCGAAAGGCTTCATATTGTGTGTGGCTTGTTACCGTTCCGACTTATTAAAGCGGCGATATGGTGACACGGACTCATGAGGGGCCTTGGCTGATATGTATAACCCCGCGAAGGCTGAAGACATTCCCACAATCTACACCTTTACAATAAGTACCTCCTTACATTATCGTTTGTTATCCATACACAACGGCATCTAGGTGATCTTGGCGAGTTGCTTATGGCATGCTATTAGGTTGGATAGAATATCAGAATGTAAAATAGTATTCATATGATTTAAAATCATACGAACTTCGTTAAAAATCCTAGTTAACTGATAAGAATGGTGCAAAACCAAATGACCTAATTCGATCACACCATCTGCAATTATAATTTCACCATTTACGATCATGGCCTTAAGCCTTATCGAGCCTCACTAAATTTACAACAATCTCATATTTAAGCAACGTTCTATATCTCAAAATACTCGGAAGCAATGTGTACGCCAGTGCTACCTACCGCATCATCAGCATCATCCGTCCGCCATGGATGCTACAACGAAGGAGGCCCAAGCTACCACCAAGAGTCGACCCGCCCCCAAGACGGTGGCTGAGAAGTACGCGGACGTTACCCTGCGCTTGATCGAAGACCATGGGGACGAGTTCGGGCCCCTGACTCCCGAAAAGGAGAAGGCGTTGCGGCGGAAGCTGTATCGTAATATCATGGTTCTGATATCCGCTATCAACATCATTTTGTTCGTAAGTCGTTTGCCTCTACCTACATATCTAAGGTGATACATAGTACTGTTAGGCTTACTTATCTTCTCGTTTGCTATAGATCGACAAGTCTACGCTGGGATACGCCGCTATCCTGGGACTTTTTGAAGAGACTGGGATTACGAAAGACCAATATAACAACCTGAACACGTTCTTCTACGTCGGTGCGTACCCATTCTGCAAGGAATTATCTTACCAAAACTGTTATGTTAATCTGATACTCGCAGGATATCTTGCCGCGCAATGGCCTGGGCACTACCTTCTACAAAAGCTTCCGTTCGGTAGATTCGTTGCCTCGATCATCGGTCTCTGGGCCGTCGTGATTTTCCTCCACTGCGTGGCGACCAAGTACGCCGGACTCGTCGTCCTGCGGCTCGCGCTCGGCGCCGTCGAGGCGGTCATCGTCCCGGCCATGGAAATCACCATGGGCATGTTCTTCAACCGCGAGGAGCAGGCTTTCCTGCAGCCGATCTTCTGGCTCACCTGCCTGGGCGCCCCCATCGTGACCGGGTTCATCTCCTACGGCTTGCTGTGGAGCAGCAGCAGCAGCGTGCTTCCCTGGAAGCTGTTCATGATCATCACCGGCGGCTTGACCCTCCTGCTCGCCGTCTGGGCCTGGTTCTGCTATCCGAGCAACCCCGCCGAAGCCCGGTTCCTCACCCTGGAAGAGAAAGTCCAGGTTATACAACGGGTACACGGATCCAGCCAGAGCTCTATCGAGCAGAAGCAGTTTAAGAAGTCTCAACTTATTGAGACTCTGAAGGATCCCGTCTCGTGGCTGTTTACGCTCCAGGCGTTCACGTTGATGTACTCGAATAATCTTACCTACGGCCAGCAGAACCTCCTGACCACGTCCCTCGGCGTCTCCAGCCTCGGATCTACCTTAGTCTCCGTAGCAGGCGGCGCCTTCGGAGTAGTCCTCTGCATCGTCGCCGCCATAGCGCTCAAATGGTACCCGGGGAACCTCGCGACCCACAGCGTGGTGTGGTGCATCCCCGCGGTGGCGGGCGGAATCGGGATGGTAGCGATCCCGTGGGAGCGGAAGCTGGGGCTGCTGGCGTGCCTGCTGCTGGCGGGGCACACGTACGGGATCACGTACATCATCGCGCTGGGGTGGACGACGTCGTCGGCGGCCGGGTACACGAAGAAGCTGACGCGGAACGTGATGTTCATGATCGGGTACAGCGTCGGCAACCTGGTGTCGCCGCAGATCTGGGTGCCCTCCGCGGCGCCGCGGTACTACGGCGCGTGGATCTCCATGATCGTTGTCAGCTGGGTCGGCACGCCGGCGATCCTGGTCGTCATCCACTTCATCCTCGCGCGCAGGAACCAAGAGCGCGAGGCCCTGATCGCAGAGATGAGCGAGGAGGAGAGGGAGGCCGGGCGCGTCGAGCAGTACGACGAGGACGGGCGCGTCGTTACGAGGAAGGTGGATATTGCGATGTTGGATCTGACGGATTTGGAGAACAAGTTCTTCATCTACCCGTTGTAGTTTGCTTGTAAATTACCTGGAGAAAGGGGTCTATATGGAGTTAACGAAGATGGGCGGCTTGACTAATATACCTTAGGTACCTAGCTTTAGAATAGGAGTGGATGGATCTGTCTGGAAAAATTGGTACGACTTGGGTATACCTGGGACACAGGCCAGTTCCCGGCCTTACTTGATTATGATAAACTTCTCATGTACATATAGCTGTTACAATCTCTGCAAGCCCAAATAGTATAATCCATCTTCACGATACAAGTTTCTTTACTTTTTTTACGGAGTTATTGCAAGACAAAAGCATGATAAACACGGAAGATGAGTAGAGATGCCCCTGACATATACAAAACTACCGGAAAAATAAAACAAAATAAATAAATCTCAAAATGTGACGGACAATTAAATCAGCGGCAGAATTCTGTTCAAATGTTCTTGTCTCATTTTTTTGTAGGGTAGTGAGACAAGTAAGGCTGGTCAGCTATAAGGGGTGATACGGATACCAACATTCGCCGTGGAATCGACAAACATCTTTTCCACCGTCCTTCAGAAAAAGCTCCATGGCGCAGCGGAAGCGCGCCGGGCTCATAACCCGGAGGTCCTCCGATCGAAACGGAGTGGAGCTAGGACTTTATTTTTTAATTTTTTAATTTATTTTTTTCATGTATTTTTATTTCTTTTTGCTTTTTCTGTGCTGAAAATTTTCGTCCGTTGTACTAACAAGCTCTGAATACCTACATACAACATTGACCCCTGTCTAGGACGATTTTTAGTCAGCCCGTCGGAGTAGTCTACATGACTAGTTCAAACGAACGACTACATTTTATTTTTATCTATCGGATTTATTTTTCTTTCTTTGATTGATTTAGTAACTGGATAAAGTTGCTTGGAGTTGTGGTAAGGTATGTGCCTGAATGTGCTCTGTACTTACTACCTTAGGAATACGAACATACATATATCCATTGCCCAAAGGTACTTTAGCAGCATTATGAATAAGTCTACCTATACATACGGAATACATACAAGGGTTTCTACATCCAGGTTACGGTATAAATGATATAAGGTGATAATAAACTGCCGAGTGATATATGCAGAGATTTCCATTGAGCTCCCAATTGGCTGTATCGAATTAGCCGTTTAAGGAGGTAGATTAGGTACCATAGAGATGCCATATCTTTTTTTGGATCTGCTATATTAAGACCAATATTCTCTAGAGTGTCCCTTATCGGATTTATACACAGAAATATCGACGAGTATTTTAAGTATATTTCCTAGAGATCTCTCTCTGGCTGGAGAAGCAATCTGAAGCTCATCCCAAACATAACGTCCACCGCGAACGACACCCCTATTTCAGCGTTGAATGTAAACTGAGAAAGAAAGAAAAAGAAGCATGGATCCTTTCCGAAGCTTGTTCATAAAAGTCGTGATAGGCCTGACTCTAACAGCTACCGCTCTCGCCGCCCCAAACGTAACAGCGGTCCCTCTTACGGACGGCTGCGTAGCATATCCCGGCTACGATGATGCGACAGGCATAACTGGGCCTCTGCGCGTAGTAGCCGACTCCACGGGCACCGAGTTCGACGGCTTCCGGTTCATTCCGAAGTTCGCGATCGCCGTCGGCGGCGGAAGCTGGGGTTTTGTACGAACACTTACCTATTACCTAGGGAGACAAGATAGCTAACATCAGAGATGTTGATGTAAATTAATAGATGGTAATACCGACAACCGAGGACAGTACAACTGAGACTCCGTTCCGCTGCGGCAACGGCACGCTCCAGGCTCGTTTGAACGTGGGCATCGAGGGCGATCGGTGGCAGACTTTAATCGCGGCTGGGACGCCTGCCGAGTCCGTCTTCGGGTTTGGCCTCCCGGACCTTCCTGATCCTAACTACCATCTCAGAATTTGGTATGTTTGTTTACCTACCCCTATATTCTAATGAGGGTGTCTACAGCCTTAAGTGTTTGAATGATCTGCGCAAATGTTAATATGTGCTTAGTATGTTATAAGCGTTACTTCAGCTGTCCCCTTATTTCTTAATTGCCTTCGACATCACAAGATTCTGTTGAATCTACAAGTTAATGCCGAGAATAAATACCGGCATAAATGTGACAAGGGCGCTAACATAACCTAGACTCGCACATTGTAGATGGAGTCGTGCAGCCAGGAGTATTTTTAGGTGCCGTCAACGTCACGACTTGGGGCTTCAACTACCAGAACAATACCGAAGCGGGCGAGTACTACTTCGTAAGGTTGCTGGGTCCTAATAGCAACAACTTAGCGACTGGGAAACCGTTGAATCCAGGTGAATTTACTGGATATATTAAGATTACCGCAGCTTGAATATGTATCCCAGGTACTTAAGGGATAGCTAAGCTAATTAAATGCATCCCTTGATGCACGAGCGTTCTAGATCGAGGGGCCACGGGGAAAATCTAGGAAACGTGCCAATCTAAATGGTATAATCTATAACCAACCTGTACCACCGAAGTATTAATCCCAGATCCAAGAGAAGACGCGTTGCCAGCCATCCGACTTCTCTTGAGGTTCGTCAGGATATTGATCCGCTTGTAAAATCGCATCGTCAAGGGGTATGCTCTTGAGTGACGCAACCCTGGTTTTCTTGACATATTTAAATATTAGATATGCACCCAGCACAAGTGGTATGTCCCTATGTGATGGTGAGCATAAACATCCATAACGAACATTGGTGTATGATACGTACAAGTAAGCTGAGATGAAGCCACTGGCGCTCCAATTTCCTGCGGTGAAGACCTCGAAACCACCTGTTAATAATATGATGATGCACATGATAAGAGCTAGGACAGAGCTGTAATCTGGACAAGCAGTCAGCACAATATTCAACCATCGTCCTTAGAAGGTACATATAACTTACAGGACCACCAGTTGTGCCATGGTAGTCGCGAAGCTTGTATACCTTGTTTCGTCAGGGCCAACTTCAGTCGAATGTGGTTGACTAAAATCGTGATCCATGAGACTAAAACACTGGCGGCCGTCAGATCAACAAGGTACCAGAACACGGTCAGCGCGCTCGAGTCCAAACTCAGGAAACTGAGAAACATGAAAGCGGTGTAAAACAAGACGCAGGCGTAAGGGGTACCCCAGGACGTAGTGCGGAGGAAGACACGAGGCGCCTGTCCTTTTAACGCTAAGGCGTATAGCACACGGGTACCGGACAACAAGGTCTGGTTCGAAGACGACCATGCCGACGTAATGACAACGGCGTTAACGACACTCGGGATAGCGCTGATGCCGGCGGCCGAAGCAGCAATAACGAAGGGGCTCTGGGCCGCGGTGCCAGACGAATCGTTGAGCCGGTCGTCATTGCTAGCAACCAGTAAACCCACTACGAAGATAGCTAGCATATAGAATAGCAGGACACGGATAAATACACGCTACAACCAAAAGTAATTAGCTGCTATCCTAGTTTGATATACTCAAGGGTAAGGTAAGGTAAATCTGGATACCTTGCAAGCCCGCGGGATAGCTCGCGCCGGGTTCCGCAGCTCGGCCGCGGGCATAGCGATGGACTCGACGCCAGCGAAGGAGAAGACGGCGCTGGCCAGCACGCTCCAGAAGCCGAGGAAGTGGCCCCAGCTTCCCGAGGCGATGTGCTCGACGAAGGGGCCCGGGTCGCGCCAGTACTTGAAGCCGGTGGCGGGGATCCCCGGGACGCCGCCGGCAGCGACGATGATGTCGAAGATGATGAGGAAGACGATGAGCAGGACCTTGAGCAGGGCGAACACGAACTCGACCTCGCCGAACACGCGCACGAAGGCGATCCCCACGATGAACGTCAGCGTGATGAAGCTCATGATGTACGCCGCCGGGTGCACGTCCTCCGTCCAGAAGGTGAACAGCACGCAGATCGCCGTCAGCTCGCTCGGGATCGACAGCGCAGCGCCGTACACTAGGTTCCAGCCTACGGCGAACCCGAGCGCCGGATCGACGAGGAATTCGGCGTGCCGGACGAAGGAGCCCGTCACGGGTAGGAGGGCGGCCACCTCACCTAGCGCAAAAGTCACAGCACATACGATCAGTCCGACAATAGCGTACCCTAACAAAGCTCCGAGCGGACCAGCCGTCTGTATAGCACCGCCGAGACCCAGGAATAGTCCGGTACCAACAGCACCGGCAATAGCTATCATAGAAAGGTGTCGCTGTCCGAGACCACGCGACAGCGAGCGGGTCTCGGTATCAGTGACCAGATCGGCATCGTGATCATCGCGGTAAGTGTCGAGGACATCCTCGTGTACCATACCGTTTTCGTAGCCCATATTATCTGCTGCTGCTGCTGCTGCTGCTGCTACTGCTGCTGAAGAAGAAGACCACGAGCTCTGGAGACGACGACGCGACTCAGCGAGAAGCGGCTCGGTGCTCATGGCGAGGTTAAAAGGGAGGGAAAAAGAGGAGAGGATAGGCTACGGTTGCAGTGGTACGGTAGTACTATGTAATTGGAAGAAGGACGTGTGAAGGATTTCCAAGGGTCTCAACTATGTACCAACTTACGCCGTGCAACCCTCAAATGGCGTAAAATATTACAAGACGGGTTTAGCGTCGAGGCCGGTCTCACCGAAAAAGACCGATTCTGCGAGGGACAAACTGCATGTACAATCATAAATGCATAAAAACTTTATTGCGCCATATTGTACGACCATCATGTAATCAATTTTTCGGGGGCTGATACCAACCCAAGGAGGCTTGTTTGTATTAAGGACATCGAATGTGGACGTTTGGGCTTCTTGATATGGGGGGGGGGGGGGGGGGGGGTTGAGGATTTGCGGGAACCAGTGAGGAAACAGTGCTAAAAATTTAAGGTTAGGACCCCGGTTAATTATTTCTAAAATAGAGACCCGAAGCATGGGGGCGTGTTTATGTTTAGCGTACTATGTAGCAAGGGTCAATCGAACTAAATGGCGGGATATACATAGGTACAGTATGTACATAGTACACTAGAGTTTGACATGATCCGCGGTGTTGCCAAAGACTCGAAGATTTCTCAACTATTGTGAATATAATTAAGCTTGGCTGACTATAGTAGATACGTGAAGCTATAGAAAATGAGACTAGAAAGTTTGCATTGGATCAACTTAGCCCAGGTCATTCTGGTTGTTCGGATAGAAAGGTCCAGAGATGTTATACTACTTCATGCTTGAGTCTATATCCAATCCTGACTTATCCCTACACAACTCTAGACCCGTTGAAAAGGGATTGCTTGGTCAAGCCAGGTAGACTTGGTAGGTTTGGTTTACCTTTATCAAAGATCGATCCGTCATGTTAATAAAAGTGTGGTGTACCGAGAATGCAAAGAACAGATTAAGTAGAGAGATACGGTGAAGAAGTTTGTGTCTTTCCAAAAGTCCATGTCAATATGGCCAAGAAGGCATTCTTCACAATACCAAGTCCCATATAAATATATGCCATGCGACCTCGACTCAGAATGATTCATTCTGGATCATCTCTTGGCGCGTCACAAAATGCCATTTTACTCTACCCAACCCCTCGAGAATGGAGCTTCAACTCATTATGAATCACTCTTGCTCACCATGAACCATTCTCACTCATAATGAAACCACCTGTGGCTCATCATGAATAAATCTAACCTCA